TACTTTGAGATGTATTTACCCACTTTCGTTTAGGGTGATAAAGGACTGGTAGAAGAATTTTCCCACAATGATACGAGTAGAGCTGACGTTTCTATTCAATTTCATATAGCCTTGCTTTCCCAAATGTTGTTCTCCTCCAGGCACCAGTGGACTGCAGTTTCAACCTCTCATTGGTCTTATCAACAGCCCCAGCGGGAGTCGAACCGTGACAGTGCAGAATGGGAGCTTGACACGTTAACTACTCAGACACGAGTGTCCTTGGGTCACAGGGCAAATGTGAATTTCAAGGAAGGCTAGGCCTTTTGCCATATCATATTCTTTGGTGGGATTGTCAATGTAGCAAACGTATATTTGCTATAACAATCGACTGCGTTACTTATTTTTCATATTTGAGTAGAGTTTCGAGACTACCAGTAAATCCATAATATGAGATGTATTCCTCTAATTTCGACAATCCCACCAAAGAATATGATATGGCAAAAGGCCTGGCTTTCCTTGAAATTCACACCTGCCCTGTTACCCAAGGGCACTCGTTGAAATGTAATCGAGTTGTTAACGTGTCAAGCTCCCATTCGGCACTTTCACGGTTAGAATCCCGCTGGGGGTGTTCACAAGACCTATGCGAGGTCAAAACTCCAGTCCACTGGTGCCGGAATGAAAACATCTTTTGGGAAAGCAAGGCTATGGGAAATTCAATGAAAACGTCAGCTCTACTCATATCATTGTGGGAAAATTCTTCTACCAGTCCTTCATCACCTTAACCGAAATTGGGTGAATACGTCTCATATAACTGATTTACTGTTAGTCTCGAAACAATACTTAAAATGCGATAAATGAAATATTACTGTTGGTGGACTTTCATTTCGTATGAAAGTGCATGAAGAAGAGAATCGTAGGCCGATCTCACCAGAGGAGGACGGCTGAATCGCTTTGTACTGAAGCCGTTTGGTTTTTGTACGACAGTCAGGTTGACGCAGTCCACGAGACCTCCTCCTTAGTTTTGGATGAAAAAGGGCCGAGCTTTCGTCCATCGTATTATGGACATCATCAGAGTTATAACTCATTTTTGTAAAAGTCTCAAGTTATCACTATGAAAAGAAGACTAATGTCAGGCCGGATGGTCTTCTTGCTTGAGTATTTTACGAGAATGAGTTCCAGCTCTGATGATCTCCATCATATGATGGACGAAAGATCATCCCGTTTTCATCCAAGGCGAAAGAGGTCTCGTGGTTTGGATTCAGCCGTCCTCTTCTGGGGAGATCGACGTATGACTCTTTTCTTCATGCACTTATATACAAATTGAAAGTCCCCTCAACACTGCTATTTCAGGAGATTAATCGAAACCCAGTTCTCTTAGTATCTGAAATATTTATGTTTTGGAAGGCTTCAAACTCATTTTATTATGATGGCATTAACTACCAACCTCTGAGATCAGTTCTCTGCATATCCGCAAATAACTACCTACGCCCACGAGGGTTTCGCCCTCCAAACTCTGGATGGTCTGAATTTCTCTTCAGCCCATCATGTAAATATACAAATTTTGCTGGAAACTTTAAACTACGATTACCACAATTCGAGCTATTCTCCAAGCAGGATCTACCTGACAGGGAGACTTATAAAATTACTTACAGAGCTGCTGCATTACTGGTCATACTATTCTCTTCAATTTTTTCCACCACTCCCCCATTCTGCATATTCCCTTGTAGAGAGGACTTGCCTGAATACCCCTTTATCGAAAGTGACCTAATTCAGACTTATTCTCGACCTTGTCAACAAGGCCACTTTGGTGGAACTGACCTTCGAGGCTGCTTTTTAATTGCTTCTAATTAGAGAAGCACTTTTTGGCCAAAATGAGTCATTATACTCGACGACAAGATGAGAGCAGGGAATCAGGAGGCATACGAGTAATGAGATTGTTGATTGTCGTCTCGGAGGGACAAGAAGAGGAGAGAGAACATGGCAGACCGGTTGCCGAGACACCAGAATATATTCGTCAGGCAAAAGCGCCAGCACACAGACAGACGGGCTTCTCAGCTCGTTACATAATCATGCCAGAATAGGTATCAAGCCTCTTGAGGAGGGGACTAGAAAGTAATTAGTTGCGTTTACGTAATTAAGCCAAGCCAACCGTGAGGCTTTGTACTTTAATATTACAGAATTTTGTAAGAATATAGGACCCACAGGAGACTTAATCCTTTGCGCTTAGAGCCCCCTTGTCACCGACAAGGAGGGAGAAACAAGGTTAAAAGGAATTATAATTTCATTGGATGTATTCACCCTATTTCGTTAAGGGTTATAAGGAGACTGGTAGCTGAATTTTCCCACAAGGAGATGAGTAGATCTTACGTTTTGATTATAATTCACACAGCTTTGCTTCATAAAAGGTATTCTCATCCAGAGTGGAATAAAGTTATAACATCGCCTAGATCTCAGTATCCCCAGCGGGACTCGAACCATGATAGTGCAGAGTATAATATCGACACTTTCCTCATCATATTCTGTGTTTGGATTGACTATGAAGCCAAGTGCTATTTGCTACAGCACGCGACTACTGTGGCAAATACAACTTTGCTTAATCGACAATCAAAATACGGAATGTGATATGGGAAAATGCCTGGCCTTTCATAAAATTCTCATCTGCACTGTGACCCAAAGGTACTCGTTACAGTCTGGCGTAGTGATTATCGTGTTGCTGTACTACCATAATTAGAGTCCGAGCCCCGCTAGGAAAGATGATGAGACCTAGGCTGGGTCTAAAATGTAGTTCATTCCTGCCTGAATGAGAATACCTTATAGGAAGGCAAGGCTATGTGAAATTCAATAAAAAACCTAAGATCTCTTCATATGATTGTAGGAAAATTTAATTACCAGTCCCCTTATCAACTTAAACGAAGTAGGGTGAAGATACCTCATATAAATGTTGTTCAAGTAGTCTATAACATCTGCTTATAAAACGAAAAATACGATTA